AAAAAAAGAAAAGATTAAAGAAAAAGAAAAAGATTACAAAAAAAAGAAAAAAAAATAAGAAAAATTACAAAAAAAAAAGAAAAAAAAAACAAAGCAAAAAAAAACTCCCAATTTAAACAAGATTAGCATCCTTTTGAACATTAAAATGGTATCAACTTAAGTTGCAATATTCCAACCACTAAGTGTTAAAACATTTAAATTAATTATATATAGATCATTATTTAAGTTAAAAAATATCACTGGGCATTTTTCGGTTCATAAAAATTTAATGCCAATATACCAATGCGTATCACATCGGTAAGTAATTTTTTAAAATTATTTGCCCCCACCAGACTCATTATGGATTGCGTCAACATCAATATTAACCAAAAATTGCGCCCACACCCTTTGAATACCATCTGCAGTTACTTTTGCAAAAAGCTCACTTATATCATCGCTAAAACAATTAAAATATTAATATTGATATTTAAAAAAAATAAAATAAAACAATATTACATTATTTTACCTTTTCATTCTTTTTTGCAACTCTAAAAACAATTTACTAATTTTTTGCCAAAGGACATACTGCTACTCAATAAAGATAGAACGAAATTTTGATGCCACTTCATCAAAATTTTGTTCACCAATTTCCGGCACCAAAATTTTTAGAAACCTTTTGATAATTCCATTATATTTGGCATCATTAAGGTTCCTACAACGGATAAACAATGCATGCATCTCATTTCTATAGATTTTGCTAACCTATTTTGGAAACTCCTTAATAATACACAAAATGTTACATACTATAATTAGTAATAATTCATTATTAAATAACATTAACTATAAATAGTAATGAGACTAACGCTAAACAGATCATAATATAAACCAAAATTATAATGATATATACATGATATTTAAACAACTATCCTTTTAACCTATTACCCTCATTACTATTGATTAGAGTAGGGTTCCAAACCGGTTTGAAATGTTAGACCCGTAACCCGTCGGGTCAAGACTAGCAACCAACCAGGTATCCGAATTGAAATCGGGTAACTTGGTTACCCGATTACTTGTATGTAATTCAGGTGACCCGGTTACCTGAATGTAATTCGGGTAACCCAGTTACCCGATTACCCATATGTAATTCAGATGACCCGGTTACCCGATTATCCAATTACCCGTATGTAATTCGGGTGACCCAGTTACTCGTATATAATCCGGGTGACCCGAATTACCCGTATGTAATTCGGGTGGCCCAGTTACTTGCATATAATTCAGGTGACCTGATTACCTGTTTATTTGTATGTAATTCGGGTGATCTAGTTACCCGATTACCCATATATAATCTGAGTGACCTGATTACCCGATTATCTGTATATAATTCGGGTCATCCGATTACTCGATTGCCTCAAGTAACCCAGTTATCCAAAAACCTGAGTAGTCCATATTAGTTTTTTTATCAATGCGCAAATGTACATAGGGATGTATTACATAAATTACATTCATGTAAATTATATTTTAACTTATGAAATTATAATGTAACTTTACATTGAATAGTGCATTGTCACATGATAACTTTACCGACATTACAAAAGTTTAGCCAGCACTAATAGATATCTATAATTATGTTCAGAATTGTAATTTTTATTTTTAATGCCAGCTTTATAAAAAATTATTCACATGATAAAAATTACATGTAATTTTTGATTTCAGAAACTTACACAAACTTATGTAAAATTACATAAAATTACGGTAATTTTCCAATCCTAAATGTACATTAATACAGTATATAAAAGTCTGCCAATTCATATTCGATTTTATTTATTATTTTTGTATACTATCTATCCATATTATTGTAGCTTTTTCTTTCTATGTACCAATTGAAACAGCCCAGTTTAAAATTAATCAGAGACTGTCGCAATACACATATACTATAATAATTCGTAGTGCTTATTCTTTGAATCACAAAAAAATGACTCTAATGCTTCTAGCGATGTTGTAAGAATTGCAATAAGAAAGACAAGTTTTTTGTGAAAAAACAACACCATCAAACCTTAATTTCACCTTCATTACCCAATTAAGTATATTTGAACTGCCATTATTATACGTATAATGATAAGTACTATGTATTTTTTTTTTTTTTTTTTGATATAGCAATAGCAATAATAACTGTTTATTATAATTTATCTGGTTTAAAAATAGAAAAATGCTGCATATTACATTTAAGGAACATCATTTGTTTAACTATATCTGGATGAAGCCTGTTATATAATACCGTAATGTGTAATCCTGCGTCTGAAAATAATACTTTAAGGGGATCGATGTTGCTGGCACTGACAAGTATTTTCGAGCTAGATTTGATAATGCAGAATACATTCCAGATCTATCTTTTACCATGTTAGTAGATTATAGCCCATTTTCTCAACAGGTTCACAAAGGTAACAGTCAACTTTAGTTTCATTAAGAATTTCATCTTTAGGTTCTTCACTACTATATAAAGCCGCAATCAAGTCATTAGTTGTTGCAGGATCGAAAGTTAATATAGTAGGTGACTTGTCAAGCTCAACTGAGGGCTAGTGGCATTTTTCTTCATTGCAAAGTGTTCGCACTTTATTAATTATAGTTCTCTTTATTGATTCATTACTAAAAAACTTCAAATACTTAATTCTCAGATCCAAGAATGATGCTACAAGCCCAATTTCTTCAGGAGTTTCTCAATATTCTTGAAGAAAAGATAATTGGCAGCTTTAACTAAATCATATAGATCTTTGGTAGTAACAAGGGACTTTATTAATCGATGGCCTTTAAATTGTGATTCATTATTTGGATATATATTTTTTTAATTTTGCTGCGACTTTGTTTCTTCATTCATCCTTGTGATGCTTGTAATAGTTGACGGAGTTGCTCTGAAATTATTTGTATATCAAATTCATCTTCTATATCGAGTTCATCAGGATTTTCATCATTGGTTGGTTGACTTGGGCTAAAAATAAAAAATAAACCAGATTTCAGTTTTCTAATATTTATAAATTTAAAATTCTGAAATCCGGTGGCTCTACATATTTCTAAAAAGTAATATTTAATGCCAAGAAAAACTTTTTAATATACCCAATAAGTCCAAATAATAATTTAGCATAATCATCTTCAGTTTGTTCACGAGAAGGTGAGAATTTTCTAATAAGTAATCTCATTGTTGGATAAATGAGATTAAGAGAAGGATAGCTTGAATCAGAAAATATATTGGTAGCCTCGTAAAATAGTTTCAATAATAGGATAAGACTGTCTAACAATCACCATTCGTTTTCGGTTAGGTTAGTTAATTTCAAATACTCGCCATCAAGTCTGCCACACCATTCTGATTCTGAAGTCAACATCAAAACAAGGTAATCGATCGTCTTTCGTAATTCCCTAAGCTGAACCCAAGCTAAATACGAAGAATTCCATCTCGTTGGTATGTCATTAATTGGTTGGTAAATTTTTGAATATCTACATTTTTTTTGCGCATCTTTAAGTTGTTCAGATTGTTTAGGACTTTGAGAAAAAAAAAGAATTAAATTCTTTGCTCTTTTAATTAATTGTATTGCAGGTTTAAGACT